CCCTGCCCACGGCAAGGGTTGGACTAGATTGAAAGGTCCCTTCCAACCCAAACCATTCTGTGATTCCATGAAAACAGCCTCAGAACGAGACTGTTTGTCCATCCTTGCTGCAGGTCCCTGGCTTGGTGGCACCATCGGCCACATCTGAGCTGTCCCGCAGACCTGAACTCGCCCCAGACACCCGTGTCCAGCCCAGGACAGAGCTTGTGTCTCCGGACACCCACTCCCTGCTCCACTCGCTGGGCGTAACGAGAACTGCCAGGGACTGCTCAGGGTTTCAGCGTGGGCAGGACAATTAGCCAGATAATTAAAGGGGAATAAAATACAGGGCATGTCTGGAACGGGGGAGGCTTTGTCTGATTTAAGTTGTGCCTGAATGGGTCGGACGCCCATTTTTGGTGGGGTCGGACGCCCTCACAGTGACCCTGCCCTTGTTTTCCCTCAGAGAGCCCTAAGCCAGGTCCTGTTTCTGACCCCCCACTTGCCGGCCTTTTTCCTGAGGCATCGCCTGCGGAGCCACGTCTTGGAGATCCGGAACCTGGACCGCGCCATGCTGCGCCTGGGCTTGGGCCAGCTTTCCGAGGAGGAGCTGAAAGCGGTGAGGACGCCTCCTCCGGCCCCGCACCGGCTGCTTTACCCTGGGGTTGCCTCGTCCGGGCCCTCCCCATCGTTAGCAGAGCTGCGTCGGGGCGCAGCACATTCCTCCAGAGCCATTCCGAGGCGGATTGCGGCCTCTCTCCTCCGGGAAGGTGTTTTCTGAGCCCATTTTCCATGCCGGGACCACGCCGGGGCACCACGGGGCACGGTTCACCGTTGCTCAGCCCCGCTTCGTGCTGAGGAAGGATCACAGCGCGATCCCTGGCGTTTCGTGTGACCCGGAGTGCTCATCCCTGAACGTGTCCGTATTTTTTTTCCTCTCCCCTGCCCCGCAGGCTTGTTACCTCCGTGGCCTGAACTCCACTCATCTCGGCATGTCCGAGTGCAGAGCGTGGCTGGAGCAGTGGCTGGGGCTCTCCTGCAAGCTGCAAGGTAACGGCAGCCGAGGGGCACCTCCTGCCT